CGCCCTGGTGTCATCCTAAAACTTCACTGCTTTGACGCCAGAGCTCAGACCCACGAGAAAAATCCCCGTTTTCCACCAAAGTGCAGCAAAACAAAGTGCCTGTGTGCGACGCCTTATTTAGTGTTTTCCAAACCGCTCCTGAAAACCTGTTAAAAATGTCACTTCTCGATGAGCTCTGCTGTAGGCTGGAGACGGGGATGTGGCTCAGCTCCCCTGCTCTGCTCAGCTGTAATCCCAAACAGAGCTCGGCTTTGGGGGGGTGGTGTCTAAAGCATCCTTGTTTAGCAGTTAGGAGATAAGTTAAACTAGTGCTTTTAAGTTTCTAGTTGCGATTGATTTGCAGTGTAGCTAGGGGCAAAGTTTATCTCTCTTTTTTTTCTTCATCATACGTAAAAGAAGAATATACCTTATGAGAATGTGAGGGGCTTAGTTATCACTCATAAAGTTGACGGTGCAAATTGAAGGTGGTGGTTGCTCTTGTTTAAGCACCATGTAATGACTTCTCGGGATCCGTATGGAAACAGATGAATTCCGATGAACCCGGAGCCGGCTCTGAACCGTGGTGTGCCCGGGGAGGTGTGATTCAGAGCGATGAGTAACTTAGGAGAAAGAGCTTCGCCTTCTTCCCCGGCTCCTGGGGTGGATGTTCCTGGGGCGGGGGAGGTATATGGCAATCCTGATATTTTTTTGTGCTCCAACATGGATTCATCTCAGAGTTTGAAATTCTGCAAGGGTTTTGATTTGTTTTTTAAGTCTTCTTGTTGGTGAGTTTCAGCGTTTCTCTCCTGTTCAGGCTGAGGGACCCTCACCGCCTGCTGCACGGCTTTTGATTTCCTGCGGTGGAGGAGGAATGACGCCGGTCCGGCGGATGCGCCGACTGCTCTGGGATGCCGGTGCTCGCCGGGGTCACCTTCCAGGACAGGGTGTGAGGCTGGTTGGGGGGTCCCAGCACTGCACTGGAGGTGTCTCGCTCTGCCTCCTGCCCCGGCACAAGCTCCTCCGCCGGCTGTGGGCTGTCCTGCGTGGCCGCAGGCGCCTCCTTGCTGGAAGGGCACTGCTGGGTGCCGTCTTACCGTGGGGGTAACACCGGAGAGTGAGGTCCGAGTTGGTCGTGGGTGCGAAGCACGTCCGCGTTCGGGGCGGAGAGGTTGTTTCTGTCCAGGTTGGGATCTCCGCCGCTTTGTGTTCCTCAAAGCACGGCGTCTCCAGCAGTGTGAGGAAGAGCAGCCCATGTGCAGGCTCTGAGCTGCCACCTGGGAGAGGCAGCTAAAGCCCAGCCCTTGCCTTTCTACCAGGTATTCGGGCGCTGGGCTAATAGAAGCAGAAGTCCTCAGTGGGCTTGGTTTCATAATACCTTGTTGACAATTGTTAGCCTTGGGCTGGGCTGGTTTTCTGCAGTAGCATCTCACTCAGTGTTAGGCACTGAGAACTCTGGCACCGAGGGTGCAGGTGATCTGGCGACGATGGGTTTATCACTGATAGCTGTCCTCCAAAAGCACCCAAGCTTTCTAACAGTTAATGTAGACACTCGCTCTGTTCTCTGTGTAGGCAAAGATGTTTTAAAAGGAAGAGATTCGGATTTTGGATGTTGCTGTTTCTTCTGCTTCTTATTTTCCTTGTGTTGCTGCTAGGAAAGCTCTTGGACGCTTTAAAAGAAGTGGGTTTGATCCCCTGGCAGTCCTAATTTTTAAGAATTAATCTTTAGACTTTTTGCATTTAGTCAAAGTTAAGTCTATGATAAAGATGTGGTTTAACTTGTGAGAGCAAGAGTAGTTTATTTAGTAAGATATTAAATCTGCTGTATTGAACACAATGTTCTTTAAAATATAGTGCTTGAAATTTGACTCGTACAGTGGAATTTGCTCTTCTAGAGTGAATCTCGTCTGATTTATGTTTGTTCCCCACTTGCAGTAGTCCTGTCTGATAGTGAAATAGCAGTGCCATCAAATGAAGAACTTGAGAAGTACGTAGTTGGGATTACCAAGTTTATCATGTTGGGGGTTATTTGGGATGGTCTTAGCTGCAGTCAGTTGGAGGGTGAAAAGCTGCTTAATACCCGTCTAGATGTTATGCAGAAGTGTTAATCTTTAAACAGCTCTCCTTGCTCCGGTAATGTTTTGTGAAAGTTTACTGAGGCATTGCATTAAAAAAAAAACCAA